AGTAATGCACACATGCTTGGTAGAACACTAACGAAATGACCTTCAGAAGCACGCTAGGTGGCATGTGGAAGTAACGTTCCTCCTCTATACGCATACGCAGTTTGAAGACCTTGCATTCATCCACAGCGTGCTGTTATTGAATTTTTAACTGCTGAAAAAGAGAATCATTGTCGTTTAAAGACTGTTTATGTCGACGATGCTATTGATAGGTCTACTGTAAATCGATTTCAATTGTAAAGTTCGGGATTCGAGAAAAGTCGAAAGAATTTTAAACGTCTTAGTGACTATGTTGAAAAATAAATATATGATTTTGAAGCTCAAGAATTGTACTTTAATGTACTTTTTGCCCCGATCTTACTATTTCTTTTTGTTCGAGTTCTGCAAGCTTGCGTGCATTACTTTTCAGCCTTGGTATTTTGCCCGTCTCTGAAACAAAGCTGTAGCCTGTGGCCCATTTACTAGGATCACCCTGTATCTCCAGCGTGTGCACATCGAAAACGGTGCATTGTTCTGTGCACGTGAACGGGGCTAGCGCGTACACGCGAGTGCACGCCAGTGCACGCGACCCGGTGCATATGTGATCGTTAATACGCGTGCGTAACTGTATGTGCCTCTGTGCAGACTCGGCGCGTCGTTAATTCGTTTCGTCGATCGTGGAAACGCGTATTTCACGAGACACAACTGAAACGCGACCTCTCTGCACATCCTGTGCAGAGACTACAAATAAATAAATGGAAAGAGATTTTAACACCGGATGGTTAAAAAACGAATCTGGCTTTATCGAGAGGTTCGATAGAATGCATAGAATTGCATTTCATTTTCATGGAAGAATGAATTTATTATCATAGAACCCAATGGGATTCAGTTTGTCCGATCATACGTACTAGATTGGTATTCAAGAATATTTTTGTTTTTCACACGTGTATATTTCTATTCGATCTCTTCGCTAACTAATAATTTTCCAGATAGCTTTGAGTAATTTGTGAGTGTACGATGTTAAAATATATTGATGAAAACGATCAGATAAATGTATGCATGCGTATTGTTAATTTAGTTAAAGGAAATAAAAAGAGAGATTGACAAGGCAATAGTTTGAATGCACGAGCAATCAGAGCGTTCCTGGCCGGAAACCAGCCCCGGTGAAGTATGATTAAATGATCGAAAGTAAGTTCGACCTGGCCGGACGAACGGTTTCTTTCAGTTCGCGTACAATCGTTACGCAAGAGGAACGACGGCCCGGATAAAACGGAAGTGCGAAAGGAAGCCGCGGCCACGGTGCCATGGGCGTATTTCCTATCCTCCAAGTCCTGACTCTGGCCCGTTTCCTACTCCTGTTGTCAGGTATCGGTATTGTTTGAACCCTGTCTCATATTTCAAAATTGAAAAGGAAGCGAAGCCATCAGAATTTACAGTTAATGTTCCGAAAATCTCGAGTCATCGTTCCGCAGTTTGTTAGAATAATTATGCTTAAATATTTGACAAACGATGGGTACTCGCGTGTCAAATAGTTAAAGAACACTTGCGTCAAGCAACAGGTTACGTCAGATAGTTAAATGGGGAACTCTCACGAGGTCACGGAGGGAAACATTTATCGAAGACGTTTTACAACCCTTACGATCGAGGGGAGACATTCAACCCTTCGAATTACACGGGCCTGTGCCTTCGATCGTGACTACTACGACCGCCATTTTTCCCCTTTAAAAGATTCTTCCTGGGTCCTTAAAGTCCGTCCACGTCCCTCTGACTTTCAACAATGCACCGGAAACGAGTTCAGAAGACAAAATCGACGTCGTAGTCGTCCACTTAATAAATATTGACTTACATATCTAGTAAAATAAATTGATAAATAAAGAATCTACAAAAAGTAGATGAAAATAATGAATGAAAATGAAGACGAAACAGATGTTGCGGTCGTTCGTTTCATAAAAACGGAGTCAAAATCGGGATGTTTATGAGAAGTGGATCGGTTTAGCATCGGAGAGGCTCAATTATCAGTATTGTTTAAGCGTGTGCAACCTCGAGACGCATTCCATCGAGCTGCACCGGATCCGATCCCTTCATTGGCGCGCATTGCACAAGCGCAACGAAGACGGTGCCAGTATCGATTTCGAAGGGGTAACTCCTGACACCGATCGATCACCGGCTACCTTCGATTTCACGTTCTCCGTTCGATCTAATTTCCGTCCCTAATGTCGTTTCTCCTTGCCCTGGAAACTGTACACGCGTCTCCTACCAAGCGCCAGACCGGCTCGCGAATTGAGTTTCCCTCCTGCTGGAAGGATGCAAGGACTCCCTAGGACTGCAATGCGGTTTCCTGCGTACAGCGGGAACGATACTCTTCGCGGAGCAACCCCGTCGTCTTCCTTTCCATTAACTTTATTTATCTTGTCTTCCGAAATTCGATTTCATCCATCGCGTTTCCCGTTGTTTCTTGAGTAACGTACCTTGGATTTATTCGTTCATTTATTGTTTGACTATTTTCTGCCCTCCGAGACTCCTGCACTCTGCATTCCTGCAGATTGCACCGAGGTATTTCATTGTAACTGATCTATTATTAGCTACACGTTTATTGTTTAATCTTTTAAATTTTATAGCAGACTTTCGATTTTTCTTTAGAATTTAAGCAAAGTATAGATGCATACTATGACGAACAGGTATTTTAATTGTGAGATTCACAGCCCGCATTGATGTCATATGGAAACTAGTTAGACGTGCGCAGCCTTGGATAATTAAAATTTATATTACTGTTACGAAAGGTGAGTTTGTGATAAGGGTACCCGTATAAAATTCGAAAATTATTCAATCTTTTCGTGTTCATTGAGACCAGGTAGGAATACAGTACAGTTGAAACGAGCTTCAATGGCATGATTAATGAAGTTTCCTTCTACTGAAAATATGAAGGTGACGTCGATTCAGTTTCACTTCAAAGTTATTTAGTTTATTATTTAACAAAAGAAGAAGTTTTATGAACGACATTTAAAGCTTAATCACGGTACAATAATTCTGTTCCTTGTGGTCAGTCGCGAGCTCCAAAATTTAACACATCGTCGTCGTTGATCTGTCATGGGACGAGAAACGCATCTCGAGTCCCATGGAAACACGATATTTCTACCGTTGTACTTCGATCCTGTAATTCGAAGTGGCAAACCAAAACAAGCTTCGTTCGTCACGCTGAAGAAACTCTGCAGCTCTTTGCCTCGTTGAACCAAGTGAAGAATTAATGTTAACGATTTATCTTTTTACAAATCCAATCATAATATTCAATAGTAATTTTGTTTTCCCTTTTTCAATTTTCTTAAATTGTTCGACTTCTAAAATTTCACGCGAGTTTGCCCTCGATCCTCGTCTTAATTATTCATTTAATCAAGCCTAACTTACCGTGCAAGTATCGGCGTACTTACATCCTAGGAACTCCAAATTCTACTTACAATATCTCTGCGTGCACTCTGTCTGCGATTTGCATTATTCATGATCACGGCCGTTGCCATTTGGACCGTTTTCAACGCAGAATCCCGCCCCATACTTTATCCCCGATATTTCTACGACTCTATTTACATATTTCCGTATCACCGTGGCGAATCACAAGTTTCGCAATTCCACCGCGCTTTCATTGCTCCTGTTTTCCGTGAAATAAAACTCCCCGGCTGTACGTCAGAACGCGAGGAACCTTACCTAAATAACAATTTGGAGTAACGAATGAAAGGTAAATTTCAGTTTTAATTTACATATTTCTATTTACTTCGATTCTTTGGTCATTGCAGTCAAGTTTTCTCTGCAAATTCAAGATTAAAACTATGTGTTCCCACGTGATAAGACAAAAAATATCGTAGTATTTTTATATCAAACACTTTTGTAGAACGCATACTCTAGGAGTTATTTGGTATGAACGAGTTATGCGACTCGCCCTGTACATGTATTTATACCGTGGAAGCAAATGGACGAAGGGCGCCGTGTTCCATTCCAACCCCTGGCGCCAAATTACTTAGGCATGACACTGGTCGAGAGTTATGTGAATAGGATTGTATCGTGAAATATTCGAAATAATTCGTCCATAAAATCAGACGACCAGTGTTATGTCACGAAACGTATCCTGATAAACGTCCAAAAGTCCAGGAGTGTGAAGGTGTTAATAACTTGAACTCAATTTAATCTTTCCATATTTTCTTTATTTACAAACGTTCATTACATCTACGTAAGAATGTTTACTGCGTGAAATAACTGTTTCAACCGAAGCCACCCCTTCCATTTAATACTGCCATCTCTGTAGAAATTGGAATCTAATTCAACTCGTTGACAACATTCGATCCGTGCACAGTACACCGTTCAGTTCGCCTAACTGAACGGTCAATACGTGCTTAGACGGATAGATCGAAGCGAGAGACGACCTCATTACCATACAATCGAAACGAGCAATTCGTAAAACGCGTCCTATTAAAATTCAACTTATCGTTCGCCGTGCTTCCACCGGAAACCTCGAGTTTCGTCCGAACTCGTCGTCGTGGCTAAAAAAATCCCCTGGTCAAGCGGTCGTTTCGATTCAGCCGTAACTCACCGGTCCACCTCAAAAACGCGGATGGAAGCGACGAGCACATCCGCGCATATACGCGACGGCGGGCGGGAGAGAAAAAAAAAAAAGTAATCGCGTCTAGGCAGGATCAATGCTCGTGCAGTCGGCGACCAGTTCGAATTTCCAACCCCGCGCGCCTCTGTGGATCGAGAAGGCACGGTCCACCCCGGCCTCCCCGCGTTGGCGCACGGGGTGGCCCGGTGTGTCGGTGGCCAGGTAAGGGGCAGCTGTCCACCAGGTGCCACTCGCCCCTCCACGCGTAGCCGCTGTCGGGGCTGAAGCGGTGGGGATAGACGGGACGCTATTGGTCGGTGGCTCGCGCGCGGCTCGGGGATACTCTGGCGCTCGGTCGACGAGCAGTCAGTCGTCCCTGGCCGCTCGAGGGGCACGCAGGCGCTTCGTAATTCGCGTGTACGTCGTTTGCGTTTTTCACATACTCGCGTCACGCGGTCTCGAGTCGTCCAACGATCGACGAGACGAAGAAGGCCCCCACAAATTCAGTGTGTGCCCGAGAGAAGAAGTCAGTGACTCTGAACTGTCTCTCTCGATCTCTCAATCTATCTCACTTAATCCCTCTACACCCGTCAGAACATCATTGTGTGCTCCATGTGCGACCAGTGAATCAGCCGGTGTTTTTCGGGTCTCCATTTGCCCCGTCTTTTTTTTTTTTTTTTTTTCTTGTAAATCTCTCTCGTTTGACGCTTCTCCTCTGCTCCCGCCCCCTCCCCGGATCTCACGGCTGCTCTCGGAATCTCGAGAGCACCACGGCTACATTTATGGGGGTGTCCGGAGAGTGCGCGGTCAAGGGCAGTAAGAGCCACCCCTGTCACTGCTGCAGCAACCTCGCCAGTTCCGGCGCGAGCCTGCAACAACAGCAGCAGCATCATCATCACCACCACCATCATCATCATCATCACGAGGCGCACTACGCGCACCACCAGCACCATCATCACCACCCCGAGAACGGAAAGAAAAACCTCACCGGCGAGCTGCAGCAGCAGAACAACAACGGGGACAGCAACATACTGGCACCCCTGCGCAACAAGATGAAGGTGCTCAAGAAACTCAAGCGCAAGATGGGCCTAGGTGAGCCACACCCCCCTCCTTTTATTTCATTATGTCCATTTCGCGGTATACGACGAATTGGGAATCGGTAGCTTCGGGGGTTACCGGTGCTCGGCAACCTATGACCCGCGGGGTCGGCCAGTGACCCGCGATGCCATAACAACCGACCCGACAATTGTGCAACGGTACTTCTCTTTGACAAAAGACCATCGAGAGAAACGCACGATGAACGAAAGTGATCGACCCGTTCAATGTCCGCGTTTCAGATCTTAATCGTGAATTCTTTTCCCTCTCGGTAAACAAAATATTTAAAAGATTTAAACGTTGTTATAATTATAATATCTATCGACAATATGCACTGGCACGAGTGTTCGTTAACAGAAATATTCGCGAAGTTTGTAGGAGGGTAAAAAATATGGGATAAGTATTTCGAGTTTGAGGGATGAAACTACCCTTCAAAGTTTATTGAGACTTCCTAAATCAAGAAATCATTACTGGACACTGTCATACGCATAATCGGATCCCTTCAACGCAAAAGTCTTTCACTGTATTGTGTTTTTAACAATATTGAGAGACTATAGATGTTCACTAATATTTACATGAAAGAATTTATCGAAAAAGCTTTCCTGTATGCTCAATAGTTTTCAAGACAACAGGGGTTGAAACTCTGAGGGATGGTTTCACCCCTCGAACTTGAGTTATCGCCGCTAGAAAAAAATTCGTTAGCCTTATTTTCATCCTTGCACAAGCCTGAAAAATATCACCTTGTTAGTAGCTTAGATTCTTTATTAACAATTTAATAATCGTTGGAGATTAAATTGGAATCCTGAGCAGGAGAATCTAGTGGCGTTGAGGCATAATAAATCATTAACCGTTTTCTATTCTGGAAGGGCCCTTCTTCAGAATTATATTAAGATCGTTTCCTACGATTATTTTTCTATCCTCTTAAATTACAGCATTTCGAAATTTTACAAACTTTCATTTTATTAATTTTAACGCGCTTAAATTATTTTAGACTTACTATAATTCAATAACTTACCTATATCGTACTGGGTAGTTCAAGACTAGTCGATTTTTATTTTCAAAGTCCGTAAAGAGCAAAATATCGGTGTCGGTTACCGAAATACTTCAAGGTTCTCGCCGAAAATTCGATATAAGTACATACATATCGTACACGTGGTGTTAAATTTAGGCTTGTAAGACGATAAAGGAACAGTTGGTATATGGTTCTACAAATTTGATGCGAAGGTTCCATAGGAACCAAAAAAGTACACAACTTTTTGTGACAAGTTTTTCATACATATGATATTCTTCGGTTCTCTACTTCATCGATAACTTTAACTCAGATCACAGACCAAAAATCTTCCCTCAATAATTATACGTAGAATTACCGATATTATTCCAAGGCAAAATCATTACTATTATTAGTTTATAGAATATCGCGAGCTCCTAGTCTCTGTGACTTGACTCGTAAGATTTTGTGGGAAGACGAGGCTCGGTTGGAGGCATTTGATTTTCCCTATCGGAAGCGAGAGATCATTCGCAGGGGCAAATTACGCTGCTCGAAGCTCATAGAGCTCTTTATCGCGAGCGACGCCTGACACAACACACGCATTGAAGTCACCTTTTGAAATTAAGCTGCCCGGTAATTTCTTTATGAAACCGGTCTTGGGCTGGTTCGCTTCGAAGTGACGAGGGGTGGCCCGCAGCCGGGTGCTTTTGTCACACGGGGACAGGAGCGAACAGCGATGTTGTAACAGTACCTACCAGTCGCTGCTCTCACGCGTGTAACGTTTCTTGTGTAGGTGCGTTGTCGTGCAAGTGCACCGTACTGAAAGACTGAGTCGAGTCGCAAACGACTTTTCCCTCGATGCTTTTCCCCGTTGCCGAGTAGAAAGAGGCGAGGGGCGAGGAAAATTCGCGTCGATACGACGAGAGATAGGGCAGATAGCGGCGGTTTGACGCTGATGGGAACGGAAAGGGATGACGATGGAAACCGTTGCGGTCGGAAGAAAATTAAAAAGACTAGATTAGGGTTTGATGCCATACAACGGGGCGCTACCTCGTGGAATTTCGTTTTCACGTGCGCGGTGACTTGACAGATTGCACAGCGAAATTAGAATTCTTCGTCCAGACTAGCTGGATTCCATTGAGAACGGTTGAAATTAGAGTTTCATTGGAGTTGGTACACTTTGGATTTTACTAAAACCTTTACATTAGCATTACTAAATAGTAAAATTGGGATGGTCGAATAGAAACTATCATTTCGTATAGTAGAATTAGTGTCAGTAAATAACGAAATTAGAATTATTAGTAACATCAATTATGAAATTGCATGAACTGTGGGCGTAAACAGTATCCACAAGATCACTAAAATGGTTTCCTCTGGAACCGTTATGCAATTCTCAAACGTTCGATGATTTAAACTTAGCGTTTCCGATCATTCGCGGATTACGACACCGCATTTGTTTGAACTTGCCTTCCTAAAATCAGAAAATAGAATCCCTCGTACGTTTTATCGCTCGACAACGCTTCGTCCACTGTACGAAATGATTTTTATTGATTCGATAAAACGCAACAGAAAGGTGGCACACTCTATGCACCACCCGTCGACGTAATCTTTCGTTGAAAGTAATAAGAGTTGCGTGATTTCTGTAACAAGGTATTGCTTTCAATTTAATCTAAATGTACGCTTCGAACAATATTTCATTGAATAGTAATACAGTCTTTATTATACCGTTAAAAATAACAATATAAAAATAGATAATGCCGTGACCCAATTTTGATTATATATTCTCGGCGGTACTTCTTCAAAGATCTGATAACCTGGAGATAAAATTCACCTTTCCGTCTCTTATAAATTAGAATCTGCCTTCCAGGTAGCTTTGTCGGAACTCGAGCCTCCTCGTTACCTTCTGGAACCTCTGTGCGCCGAATTTATGGTATTTGATCTTCTCCTTTCGGAGTAAGTTCTTCCTTATCTTGCTATCGGTGCTTAATTAAATTGTTTATGCAAGAAGAAGCATATTTGTTTGACTAAACCGGGTGTAACGAATGTACCGAGGGTTAAATTGAAAAACAGAAGCAACACGCGAAATTTTAATTAAACACCGAAACTCTGTTATAACATAAATCGGAAGGAATAGTGGAAATAAACGTTATTAAAAATTCTATTTTGCTTCAGAAAGAAAATTACAAGTTGAAATTGGGTTAATGGACAGCGTTGGTACACCGAGGGCCGAATTAAAAAACAAATGCTAACGGTAAAATTTTAATTAAACACCAAGATTTATGTTGCTCGACAACACAAATCGGGAAAAATAGAGGAAGTAGAAATTATTAAAAATTCTATTTTGTTCGAGCAAAAGAGCCAAACTTTAAAATGGGGTCAACGGACAACGAGGGTGAAATTGGAAATCAGAAACCAACGGCAGAGTTTTAATTAAATACTGGTACCCTATTTGTTAACAATATGAATCACGCACAATTGAGTCAACGTACATAATTATTCCTCCAGGGCGAGCGTAATAATTGAATTTGACCCTCAATCGCGACGCCTTTGAACGTCTTTTCAAAAGGGTTGCAGGAGTCTACAGGCGGTATGAGCATGATCGTTAAAAGCGCACGCTGCTTCTTTTATTTTTAATCGCTGTTTTCCCACGTAGCGTCGAAGTGAAAGGTTCTTAAGATAAAATAAAAAGTCCTGTGACGTAGCAGCCGAGTAAACGTGCATTGCTTAGGCGGCATAGCAACTTCGGCAACTCTTCGATAAATTTTGATATCGCTGCCAACCGCGCACCTCCGCGTTTCCTTCGAACTTATGCGTTCGACGTAATTTACATTCAATTTTACGTATCGTGCTTAAGTTTTTCATTCAACAGGCATGTTATACAGAGTCTCTGTCGTAATACGAACTGGGACTTATTTGCAAAAGTTAAGTCGGAACGTGGGCGCTCTTCATTTCCAATTCCACGAGTTTGGTACAAAAATATCGCGTACTCCACGATTGCAAACGAGCGAACGTCGAAATCGTCAAGCATCGTTTGAATAGATCGCATCGTGAATCAAGTATTCTTAGCGGCTTCCACGATCCACTTTCGCATCTCGAGGACGTTGAAGATTGTCGGTTATTTCCGGAAAATCCGATAACCTATATATTAGGTCGCTGGAAAGGTTCTGTCCCCTAATGAGACAAGGATGAATCATTTTTTTTTTTTAACGTTGTACAGCCAGAATTAAAACATCTATTTTACTCTTACTCGCGCGATTCTCGTATTTCTTAAAAACATTCGTACAAACCTCTTCGTATCTACTGTGAAATAGTAAATAATCATTTTGACCAAAATTTGACGTCACTGGCGATACAAAATATACCCCCATGAACGCTCCTCTCGATAGCCAAACGATATCCTAGGCATCGATACGCGTCTCAAGGAAACTCCAACCGTTGGAAGAAATTCCTCAGACTGGTTTCGTACCGAGGGTATCGGTTTCAATCGTGCATGCATCGAGAGTATCAAAACACACCGTATCTCAGCCGCTTCCTGCAATCCACCATGCTGGAAGAGTAAGTTGGAATCGAAGGGGGGACAGGCGACGCGGCACCCTCGTTAGCATCCTAAAGAGTCAATCGATTGCTTGTTCTCGTTGCGACACACGCTTCTCTAGCTAAAGGGGTTGCTTCCTCGGGCTCGGAATCGCGTCTGAATCGCTTCCCCTTTCATCAATACAGAACTTTTCCGGCGTCCTCGATATTAATATTCCATTACGTCGTTCGACTTCCGTCGGAGCAGAAGCAGGACTCTCCCCATCACAATGGAAGTAGGCCGCGGAGGAGTCGTCATTTCCTCCGTTATTTTCGCGCTCGTCCCCTCGTCCACCCCCTCGCGTCCTCGTATTCCCGGCATCACAACGGGCAGATATCGCGCTTATCCGCGACTCTGTCGCAGGGGGGGTGGATTTGTATCGTCGCGGTTGGCGCGCATCGTTGACCGACTTTTCGCTGAATGGATGATTTGCTG